TCATCATCATCATCATCATCATCATCATCATCATCATCATCATCATCCAGAACTCAATTTGTTTTCCAGATGAAGCCCACGAAACATGTCCGGTCCAGGTATACCTCCTTTTCGGATGGCGTAGCGGTGAGTAAATACTGAGTACGTACGATGGTCCTAGACCCTTAGGGAAAAGAAACTCTCTGCAGCTCAAGACATTGTTCCGGCTTCGTTTGGATCTCGTTGACCCACCGAACCCCCGTTGAGTTCCATGGATCGGTCAGTACCGATAGCCGACCCGAAGACTTCGACCTGGCACCTTGACCCAAGGGGGGCGGACGTGAAGTCGTTGCAGGTCTTTGGAGCCTGGCTTCCAAGAGAGTCGAACGAATTCCAGGCGGACTCGGCCGAGTCCGGCCGAGAAGTCTGCTGTTGACGTACGTAGACGTGAAGTCGTCGTGGTGTGAATGGGTCGCTCGTTCCGGTGGGGGTGATTGGGGGTTGGACACGTCTGACGGTTTTTGTTCGCCTCAGAATCTGGATCGGAACCCAATGGGAAGGGTTCTTCCTTCGGACTTGTGCCCCCGTGGCGAGGAGGGAGAAGGTCCAAGGATTTGGAGTGTTGGAAGGGAGTGATACCTGGAGTCTAGGATACTCTAGACCTATCTAGACCCCAATTTTTTTCCAAAAACATCCAAAAACTATGCCCTAAACCCAGGAAGATTATCAGAGCAACATGGAAAACCATCCTTTGCGGAGGAAGCTAGTCTTCCAAAGGAGGTTCCATGTTCATTTTCCAGGGTGTCCTGGCAATTCCGAAGGAACAATATATTTGAGTCATGGTGTAGATGTTTATGTATAGTAAGAGACTTCATTGACAAAGGTGGTTCCATGTTGTTTGCGTGCAAGTCTACACGATTTGTTTGGGGAGTCATTGTTTGTGATGTGTTTTGTTCTTGCTGTGTTGCATACTGAAGATTAGTGACTCAGTTTCCCGCACGCAACATCGTCATTTGAGAAAGTATAAAACCTTCCATGTAAGAAAGACTAAGAATTGAAAGTACTCTTCGCATGCCCGTTTTGCTCCTTTCGCAGGTTCAGTCCACTGTAAAACGATAAGGAAGCAACGATAGGTCACCCCGGATAACTCTTGGTTGGATGGACAGGATGGATGTTTGCACAAGGGTTCAGCCTGATGAGTACGGACCAAACACTGTTTGCCGTGAACATGGTGTTTCCACCAGGCACGAGAACGATGACACAACAAGTATATAAACAAAAACGAGCCTACAACAGCGAGCCTACAACACTTTCCCGTAGACAGGCCCACAAAGCTAAGAGGCGGTAAGAGGGGAGAGAAGGATGTTGGGTGAGTTGCCTCTAGCTATGGCCTCTAGCATGGAAGGAATTGTAACGCACTGCCGGGTTCCATGCACCACATGCATGCTGTGTACACCGTGTACCACGCATGTTGCAGTTAACCAAAACATCTTTTAAACGATAAGGACAAGGAAGAAGAACACAGATAACGTCAAAAGTGGGTATAGATGGGTTTTTAGATGATCTCATTTTGTGGAAAGACTTGTGTCACATTTCACTGCCACCTTTAATGCCTTAGCAACAGATTCGCACTAACACGCAACAGCAAATCATACCGTGAACAAGAAATAATATGTTTTAGCTAGCAACTGCCTTATGACAAGGGTGGTGGCTTCAACTGGAGATAAATGCGGGAACCTTCCACCAGATAAAGGGTAAAGGACAAAATAGGTTATATAAGGCTATAGCACCCATGTTTTGTTTGTTTGAGGGTTCTCTCCATTGTAACACACGCCTCGACGTTGAAGGCACTCCTTGCTCCTTCCCGTGGCCCTGTCGGGTGCCCAGTTTGAAAGCACAGGGAAGACCAGCTGCTGTGTCCTGCGCGTTGTAGATTACCCGACCGGTTTGGTTGAACATGGTCGAAGCCAAATAGGGTGTACAGGAGCGGAGAGATCCGTTCAATGCGAGTAAGACCCATGTTTACATTTGCTTACAGTGCATCAAAACGGTTCTCTACCAGCCTAGAACGTGTCATGTGCACCAGTTTTACAAAGAAGCTTTGCACTGCTCCACTGATCCTTTGCTGCTGCGGGGCCCGCACTGTCCTCAGATGTGTCCTGCAATGCCAACAAGAGACGAAGAGATTTGTCATGATGTATAAGAGTTGGGTTTGTCCTATAAACAATCAACACCATTTTGGAACAAGGCCTCTACTAACCATCATCATCCACTGGGCCCGGGTAATAGGATAGACCGATAGACCATGATAGACCCCCCAAAAAAAGACTACATCTTAAAGCCCATACCTTCCGACCCACTGATGTCATGGTGCGTTCCACAGAATCGAATCCACCAGATGTTCGATGCAGATCAGCGCGTCGAAAAGACGTTCTAGTTTGAGGCATCTCAGATGGATGGCCTCCGAAGAATCCGAGTGTCGTGTGTTTTGATCTTTCCTCCATACCTCGGATGAAAGGTGATGGTTTTATGAACCTAAAAAGACCACCACTTATTGCCGGCTCTCCTATAGTTCGTTTTACACTTCGATCTTTGCCAGGTTCCGGTCCTTCTCCCAGTGGATCCCAGTTGCCACAAAAGTAGAGGTCCTTGGTCACTTAGTGGCTCCAAAGACCCAAAGCGGTAGATCAAACACGAAACCCTGGTTGGGTCTAGCTTTGGACTTGCCATCCGACTTGGACGGACGCAGGTCGCCCGAGGGACCACAAGGCTCTCCCAGCCTTTGGAGCAGGCACCGCGCACAGCGCACCACCTGCGCGAGCGGGAGGGGGGTGGGGTCTGAAGGCGTGGAGTTGCTGGGAGCTTGGAGCAGCCTGGGTGAGTTTGGGTGAGTCGTGGAGTGTTGGAGCAGATTAGGTTGGGTGACTTTGGATTGGTTTTTTCCAATGTCTTTTCCTCCCAAGAATTTTCCGGGCCCGAAGGTGACTGGGTTTGGTTCGGGTCTGGAGCCCTGGGGAAGAGGTGGAGAAGCTTCCAAACCCTGCCAAGAGGTCAGGCCCAAGGATTCTTAGGGTACTTCTCATCCCGGAATCCGTTTTCCAATCGAGCTTGGAGGATGGTATGAGCCAACCATCCAGTATTTCTGACTCCAAAACGATAGAGTCTCTCTCGTCCACGTGTTGGTTCCGTTGTCCTTGACCCACTTCCGGGTCTACCGGATGGATGTTCTCCGACAAGCCCCCACTCGTGGGACCTTGCTACGTGTAGCCGCAGAGTTCGCTGCGAAAGCAGGTCGAGGTCGGCGAGGTTGGGAACCATGTTCCAAACGGGAGGAAGAGATGAAGACAGGGGATGGTGAACCATAAGGGGTTTCATTCACCTCAAAGGTTCAGACACACACACACACACGAACGACCCTGAGTTTGTGGTGTTGAACCTCGGGGTTTGGGACCCCACCATGTAGGTTGCTTCGGGGGGTCCAGGAGTCCGCAATTGGTGAAGGGTCCAGGAGTCCAGCCGCGAGGGCTCAGGGTGAGGTTCATAGCTTTGATCCGCTTTGGTGTAGGGTCCGTGCAGGACAGTGCAGGACATCGACTGCCTCTGACGGTCTGCCTTGTTTTGGGCCCAGGTCGACCAGCAATTGGGAGATGGTATAATCATCTTCCTGATGTTGTTCATATTTGATGGTAATCAAATACACAAATTCCTGATGGTAATCAGTTTGCAGGTGATGTTTATTTGTCAAAATTGTTGTTAAATCATCGCACCGTCATCATCATCCACCATCATCCACCTGCGCCCTGCTATTGGGATAGACCCAATAAATATCTGTTTGCCCAGCTCCAGGACCTCCAGCCGACATCCGGGTCTTTCACGCTTATCCCTGCGGTCGGGGGTCCCCAGTCCGCCAAAACAGACGGATGAGGAGTGACGGCGTCTTCTGACGGCGTCTTCTGGTGGGGTGTCAAAGATGGGCAGATCAGACTGGTGTGGGAATGATGGAATGAGTTGTCATGACTGGCGCTTAGTAGGGAATGAGTAAGAATGAGGCAGTGAGCTGTCAATAGAGATGCATCCATTCTCTTATAGCCTATATCCTGAACACCAGTCAGTTGTTTCTGGAAAGCACTCAGAAGCTAATGTTTGGTAAGTTGTAAACATCGGCTTAAGACCTTTAAGACCCATTTGTCCGAGTTCTACGACCCTCTAGGACTCTTGTGACTTGGCTTCTGTAGTTCCGACATGTTCCGACCGTCCACCCTAGAATAGGTCTCAGACGGTGTGAGGTTTTTGTGATGTTGTTTGACACTCCTTGGAATCACACTGTTGTTCTCCAAGGACACACTCCTTGGAAGTGTCATTTGATGTTTTCTTCCATGGAAGTGGAAAACCACCTGTTTGTCAGCAAGGGTCCGCATTCTGCAGCGGCGCCGGCAAACGGGCTTTGCCCGGATCTTGGACGCTGCGCCATCCGCAATGACATTCGGGGCCTGGCCCCGGAATCTCCTCTCCGGGTCGATGATCTTCCCGATGATGGATGTTCTTTCTGCTTTTCTGCGAACAGATCCTGGTTGAAAAGCCCTGTGGCACAGCTCACGGTGCACCCGATCAGATCATCGTGACCTTTGCGGCGCTGGACCGGGCCAAGCTGGCGGCTGAGCACTATTCACATTATTTTTCACCGCTTGTACATAGTCATGTCTACTTCACGCGTTACATTTGGCTCAAGAAAAAGGTGTACTTAGTTGGCTGTTTCCTATTTGAAAT